CAAAATGCATTTTCAGGAGGACACGATGGTTTTGTGGGAACCCCTTTCTGCGTTGAACATTAATTTGCCCCAGTTTTACAATTTCAGGCTACAATGTATAATTTTAGCCAGAGTAGCCTCACCCTACCATTCTTAGTTGTGGTCATAAATTCTCTTTTCTAACAATTGCTTGGTCTGGGTGGCATGGAGTTTGTTTTTGCTGATAACGTCTGTCAACCAGAAGCTGGCCACTAACTTATCCAAAAAGCAAGGGCAAAATCTTAGACCTAGATGGGGGTAGGGAGGGAAGGCACAGTAGAGAGATTGCTTTTGTCTGTTTAAAGTAGGCTGATTCTTTTTTGATGAAAAAGAGAAAACCATGCAAACCCACTGGTGTAATTAAGGATCATATGGATGACTTGTGGATGTCCCAAATAATTAGCTAAGAAAGCCATGGCTCCACTTTTTTTTTTTAAACTTTCATTTTGTTTTGAGACATGGTCTCAATGGTCTGATTTGTGTACAGCTGCTTTAGTGCTGTGCAAATGGTGGGCCAGGATAGCTCACCACGAAGAGGATGTTCTAGTCCTGTCTACTTGCGGCCTATATGCTTGGACAGTCCCCCAAGGATGAGTTTGGAGCCAATTTATGATTAGCATAATGTTTCCTGCACCTAACACGTACTGACCTGTTTTTATTGTCAGCCAGTTCACCTTATTCTGCACTCTTTTTTTTTTTTTTTGCAGTTTTTGGCTGGGGCTGGGTTTGAACCTACCACCTCCAGCATACGGGGCCGACGCCCTACTCCTTGAGCTACAGGCACTGCCCCATATTCTCCATTCTAAGTTAAACTCTTAGTTTCACAATACCAATGTGGTGAGCTTCTATAGGATAATTTATTTCCTCCTGTCCCTTTGGTCTTCGAGGATAGTCTCTGGCCAGTGAACTGGTTGCCCACCCGTCTGTTGCATAGTGATTGATTGTGTCTCGTGCTATATAGAACCTGATAGTTCCAATAAAAGTGTTTTTGAAAAAAATGTTATCTCAAGTTTTCCAATTATCCATGCATTGCTTGGGCAGAAAAGAATATAATTAAAATAAAAAAGGGAATTCCAAACCCCTGTATGAGAATATTTTCCTTTAAACAGAGTATTTCTAAACTAAATGTTAGGAGGGAGAGAGAGGTGACAGCAGAAGAAAGGAAATTCACCGGGATTGCAGCCGCAGTTCCCAAGATGCAGAGGAGAATCACCACGGTCTTCATGCTTTCTACCTGTGAACTGAGAAGATAATTGTCAGTGTTAGGGAAAAGATTTTTTACTAAAGATTAAAAGATAATCTCAGCAAATACTGAGCACAACATTGTCCTTTGTATTTGTAGCTGATTGCTGTCTTTGTGGACTGACACGTCTGAGAAGACAGATTAATGTCGGTTCTTGCTCAGTTGTGTCCCTATGGAAATTATTCCTTAGGATTTTGGACCTCTGGGTTCAGCAGAACCTGTCTCCATTGAGGACTGTGCTAAAGGCTCTGTGCAGATCTTGGGTCTTCAGATTTGTGAGTATTTGCAGTGAAGATAATGGTCACAAAGTAACACGGTATGTCAAGTTTGGGTGAAATAAATTGCCTCTTGAGCTGGCTGGGCACGGGGGCTCATGCCTGTAATCCCAGCACTCTGGGAGGCCACGCAGGTGGCTCCCTTGAGTTCAAGAGTTCTGAGACCAGCCTGAGCAAGAATGAGGCCCCATCTCTGCCTAATATAAAAAAATTGGCCTGGGCAATTGTAGTGGGCACCTGTAGTCCCAGCTACTTGGGAGGCTAAGGCAGGAGCACCACTTGAGTCCTGGAGTCTGAGATTGCTGTGAGCTACAGTGACATCATGGCACTCTACCCAGGTGACAGAGTGAGACTCTGTCTCAAAAACAAAAACAAACACAAAAAACCAAGGAAAGAAAACAAACCCACCTCCCTTCCCCAAACAAACTACCTCTTTAGTGGTAGAGAAAAATATTCATTGAATGAAGATTTTTAGTAACAGAACATCACAGTCTCAGTTGGCAATCTGTGAGTGGGAGGTGGCTTGAGGATAGGTTTGATTTTGTTGGCACTGTGCATTTTAAATCCAGAGGTTTATCTAAAAATTCAGATTTCTAGTTTCTCTTGAACCATCCAACCTCTAACAACAATGGGCCTTCATGACAACAGTTAGCTGGACTTGTGTTGAGATTTCCCTCTGTAGAGGGTGCTGGCAATTGTACTTGGTCTGTCTTACTTTTGTTATTTGGTTTTCATTGGTTTAGTTGGTTCTGAACTAACTGTTTAGATTTAGAAATGAGACAAATGAGGCTCTGAGAGGCTGCGTAAGTTATCTTCCACCACCAGGGCATTTCCCACCACATCAGTTACACTATTGTGTTTTTTTAAAGTGGTGGGCCACATGCATTTTCTTGCAGACACTCCTAAGCATGGTATTTGAACTTCGGGAATAAGACTACACTGTTGAGTCTTAACAGAGGTTTTCTGGCTCTCCCAGAAATAGTAGATGAATCCTTTAAATTATTTTTTGCAATCATGATTTTATATGTAAATGCATCCAAAGAGTTTTAAACAAGACATATTGTAATATTTCTAAATAGCATGGCTAAATGGACATTGTCTCCCATTCAGTAGACGGTCTGTTAGTTCTATTGTTTATTTCCTTTGTTGTGTAGAAAGCTTTAAATTTAATTAAATCCTATTAATTTTTGTTATTGCTGTAATTGCCTTTGGGGGTCTTAGTCATAAATTCCTTGCCTAGGTCTATCTCCACAGGAGTTTTTCCTTTTCTTTTTAGAATATTTACAATTTCAACTCTTTTATTTAAGTCATTAATCCAGCTTGAGTTAATTTTTGTATATAATGAGACATAGGGATCCAGTTTCATTCTTCTGCATGTGGCTATCCAGTTTTCTTAGCACCATTTATTAAAGGGCCTTCCTTTCCCCAGTGTATGTTTTTGTCTGCTTTGTTGAAGGCTGTAGCTATATGGCTTTATTTCTGGATTCTCTATTCTGTTCCACTGGTATATGTGTTTGCCTTTATATAAGCACCATATGTTTTGGTTTTTATAGCCTTGTAGTATAATTTTTTTATACTTTTTTTTTATTAAATCATAGTTGTGCACATTAATACTATCATGGGGTACAGTGTGTTGCTTCTATATACAATTTGAAATACTTTCATCCAATTGGTTAACATATCTTTCATGTCATTCTCATAGTTGTTGTGTTAAGACATTTATATTCTACATTTAGAAGGATTCACATGTACCCTATAGGATAAATCTTAGGCATGATCCCAGCAATCACCCTCCCTTCACCCATCCTCCCCTGTCCCCTCCAGTTCCTCTTCCCTTTCCCTGTATTCTTGGGCTAAAATTGGGTTATAGCTTTCCTATGATAGCTAAAAATTAGTTTCATAATAAGGTTGAGTAGCAAAGTATCTCAAGAATGGAAGAAAAAGCATCCTTGTAGTATAATTTGAAGTCAGGTAATGTGATGCCTCCAGATTTGTTCTTTTTGCTCAGGATTGCTGTGGCTATTTGGGCTCTTTTCTGATTGCGTGTGAAGTTTAGAATGGTTTTCTCTACATCATGAAAAATGTTACTGGTGTTTTGATGGGAATTGCCTTGACTTTGTAAATCAGTTAGGGCAGTATTGATATTTTAACAATGTTGTGTCTTCCAATCTCTGAGCGTGAGGTGTCTTCCCACTTGTTTATGTTGTCTCTGATTTCCATCATCAGTGTTTTATAGTGCTTGTAGAGGAATTGCTAGAGCCAGAACCCTAGTGAGGGAAGATTACTAGGTTCCATCAGAGGGGGAAGAGCTAAAGATACAAACAATGAGAAAAAGGAAACTCACGTAAGAAAAAGGAAGTATTAAATATCACAGAGAGTTCAGAGCAAATAAGGCCAGGAAATTATTATTGCTTTTGGAGATATGGAGGTTATTGGAAAGCTTAGGGACAGAAGTTTTCCTTCAGGTGGAAAGTAGGGCAGTGATTGGAGAGTGAATAGGTGGTCAGGGAGCCTGTGAGAGCAGACCGGTCTTTGGCTATGAAAGGAAAGCGAGGAAGATGGTAGCTGAAGGGGAATGTGCAGTCACATGGAATTTTTATTTAAATGTGATCATCTAAGTATATTCTATGTATTAGGGAAAGAAGAAGTAAAGAACAAAAAATTGAAGATAAAGGGTAAGAGAAGAGATATGGTAAACATTGCTGGCTCCCAGTAAATTGCTGAGCTTCATTCCTCTGTGACTTTGACCTTGACCTCATGACTTGCCCTGGCCAATGTGACATTAGCAAGTATGATGATGGCAGAAAAGCCTTGGTAAATACTTGCACATTAGTGTTTCCCCTCTTGGGGAGGCCATCAGCCATGCTGTATGAAAGCTCAAACCAGACTACCGAATGATAAGAGAACCCTGGAGGATGTGAACCCTGAAGCTGTGCTGGACAGTTCAGCCTCAGCTGTTCTCCCAGCTCACTGGATCACATGAGTAACCAGACAAAATTAGCAGAAGAGTCACCCAGTTGAGCCCAGTCCATGTTGCAGAATCATGGGCAAATGATATGATTTTAAGCCATTTAATTTGGGGGTAGATAATTATACAGTAATAGATAACTGACATAGGGAAAAATAGACCCATTGCCTAACCCACCGGCAAGACAAAATTGCATAACAGTTAAAGGCATAGGCTCTGAAATGGGACTTCCTAGGCCTTAGTGCTTAATTTGCATAACCTTAGGCAAATTGTGTAGTTTTATGAGTCTTCAGTTCATTGTCTGTAAAAATGATGTGAAGGTTAAGTGATGATA